TAAATAAAAAAATTTATAAAATAAAATTTAAACATTTTTAAATAGTAAATAATATAGTCCAATATTTTAACTAGCATTTTAGTATTTTTACCTCAATAAATTTACCAAAATCTTTAAAAAAATAAATGAAATTTACCAAAATGAAATTGTCATACTCTCGACTTTTGGGGTACAATTGTTTAAAAAATCGCTAGTGTACACGTGTCGCAATCAAAACGCAGAAACTGATCCTTCACGTAAAAACCTAACTTGATAGTATCAAAACCCGAAAACACTAAAGTCACCCGTCGTGCCCTCAAAGCTCTTCGTTCACGAAGGAGAAGAGAAACTGAAATTTCCCTCTCTAAGTCTCCGTTTACACCCGCTTCTAGGACTTCAGGGTCCTCGGATCATCCTTGCTTGACCCAAACTCCATTTTCAGAAAGAAAAGAAACAGAATTGCAGACGAGAAGAAGAAGAAGGAGAGGAAGATTAACCCGAGAGACGAGAGAGGGAGAGCGAATGCAGACAGGTGACACCGGAAGCCGGGAAATCCAGGTACCTGAATTACAGGCTTCTTCTCTTCTTAATTGAATCTCTATATATAGGTAGATTACTTCTTCTTGTTTATGATATGGTTAATAATGATAGCATTAGAGGCAACGTTAAGAAACTCCATTGAAGCAACTTATGCCACTGATCGAAATGAATTTAGAAGATAAGTGTATAATTAATCTTTGTGTTCCAGTTGTTGGGGAAAAGCCAGAAGAATTGGAACGTATAGCTCTGAGTAAGTTGGAAAATTTAATTGCTATCTTCTAGGTGTTTTCAATTTTTTTAATGCATTTAATTTGAATATCAGATAGTTGATAATCCATCCTCTAACCAGCTTAAACAGCTTTAGACTCTTTCTTTGTTATATTTTTCTGTTGGTGAATAAAATTGTTTGAAGAATTTTGTTTGGAGATTTTGGGTGGGTTCTTCTTTTACATTTTCTAGGCATTGAGTTTTTTACTTTTTCAAGAAGAGAAGCCATGATGGTGCATACTGAATACCCACCCAAGATTTTATGGAATTTCTGAAGTGTCCCCATATTTAGTGAACTGGGTCATTGGCTATAAGAGTGTAAGCTCATGACTAGTGTTCTTAGAGTTAGTAAAAGTCTCAAATATAGTATGAGAATAGGTTCCATATGGTACAGCTACTATTGTGATCCGATATTCGTACCCCAGGTATTTATTTGCCAAAATTGTATTAAAGGTGTTACCGGGTAAGGTGAGTACTTCCTTTTCTGTTAGCTATCAGACATCAAAAAAATTTCCATTAGTAAAAGATGTAAATTCATTGAAAAATAAAAAATACGAATGTTGCAGGGAAATAGGTTGGTACTATTCCTTGCTTATTAATGATGTATTTCTTCATTGCCATTGTGCAACTTTATTTATTAAGTCAAGAATTTAAGTTGAAGAAGAGATTATCCATCTAAGTCAATTACCCATCTAATCTAATATTGATGTACTTATTCTTTTGCCCTTTCTATTTTTTTGTTGTCCTGCATAAAGTAAAAGTCAATTATCCATCTAATCTAATATTGATTAAATAAATGCCCAAGCATTCCGAACACTCATGAGTCTTTATACAAAGTATCTTCTGTCCTTTCCACAACTATTAATTAGATTCCTCATCTGAATATCCAATCAAATTCAAGATTCAAGATTGAGACAGTAGACACTACATTAGTAGTAGAAAGGCGATCATATTACGATTTACCGATTATTTGTTTATGCGCCAAAAGGAGAAGAAGCTTGAGTTTGGAATTTGTACCACTATTATGACACACATTGCTTTGACTCACACGCAGGTTCATTCATATGTAGAACATAATTGTCTTATGTTTTTAGTGAGACTAAGTGGGATTGTATTTAACTTTCCTAATATGTAAACTTATGCTTCTGGATTCAAAGCTTTTATTTTGTTTTCCAGTCAACTATTGATAGAGGTCTTCATTTTCTTGCGTACATAATGCCATATGAGAATACAAAGAAACTTCCAAGTCAATGAGAACGAGAATACTTGAGTAATGAGTTTGTTATTTAGACATAAAGATCTAGTGCTTTACAGATATGCAAATATTGAGGGTTTCAACTATGAGAAAAGTTAAAATTTTGGAATGTGTTATACATTTTTCATCTCTCTTATGTAAGGGTATGGGGGAATTTATTCTCTCTCAGTTTCAACAAAGAATTAAATGATGGTTTAGTACCTCAGGTTATTAGGAATTGGTTATAAGGTGGTGATTTGGATGAGAACTTAAGGATGACAATTTGTTTCAATCGTGTGGTTGACTAAGGGTTTGATTATGTAATTGGTTTGTTAGAGGAATTTATATAAATGGTTTTTCACACAGAGGTTAGCTGACATGTGCTGCTGTCTACTGGGATTTAGTTTAAAATCAAAATTGTCTCACCTTTTGTTATTCTCATCATGTTGATTATAAATGGTTTTTCACACTGAGGTTAGCTGACATGTGCTGCTGTCTACTGGGATTTAGTTTAAAATCAAAATTGTCTCACCTTTTGTTATTCTCATCATGTTGATTATAAATGGTTTTTCACACTGAGGTTAGCTGACATGTGCTGCTGTCTACTGGGATTTAGTTTAAAATGAAAATTGTCTCACCTTTTGTTATTCTCATCATGTTGATTGGCTATAATATAAATATAAGGCTTGATATGTACACAGATAGAAGATGCTGCTCTCAGCAGCGAGCAAGTGCCTTATGGTGAATGCTTACTGCAGATGGAAGAAGCTCCTGTCAGCAGTGAGCAAACTTCTGATGGCGAATGCAACGAAAGCCTGAGAGAAAGGAATGGTGAAATAGCAGTGCTTGAAGGTAAGAATGATTTAGTTGAGGAAAAAAAGGAATTTGTTGCACCAGCTGTGGGCATGGAGTTTGAATCATATGATGATGCGTATAATTATTACAACTGCTATGCCAAGGAAGTGGGATTTCGAGTTAGAGTGAAGAATTCATGGTTCAAGAGGAATAGCAAAGAGAAGTATGGTGCAGTACTTTGTTGCAGCAGTCAGGGTTTCAAAAGAATTAAGGATGTTAATCGCATAAGGAAAGAAACTAGAACTGGTTGTCCTGCAATGATAAGGATGAGGTTAGTTGACTCAAGAAGATGGCGGATTCTTGAAGTTACACTAGAACACAACCACTTACTTGGTAACAAGATTTATAAATCAATTAAGAAGATGAGCACTGGAACCAGAAGAAAGTCAAAGTCAAGTTCCGATTCAGAGGTGCAAAAAATCAAGCTATACCGTGCTCTTGTGATTGATGCTGGGGGTAATGGGAATTTAAACTCTGATAAAAGAGAAGTAAGGAACTTTTCCCACCATCCCAGCCAGCTCAACCTTAAAAGAGGTGATTCACAGGCCATTTATAACTACTTTTGTCGTATGCAGTTGACCAATCCTAATTTCATTTACTTGGTGGATTTCAATGATGAAGGGCATTTGAGGAACATATTCTGGCTTGATGCTCGTTCTAGAGCTTCTTGTGGTTACTTTGGTGATATAATTTATATTGACAACACATATTTGTCTTGCAAATACGAGATTCCTCTTGTCACTTTTGTCGGAATTAATCACCATGGACAGAGTGTGTTACTTGGTTGTGGCTTGCTTGCTGGTGAGACGACTGAGTCATATATTTGGTTGTTCAAAGCCTGGCTTAAATGTGTCTCTGGATCCTTTCCTCAAACGATTATTACAGACCGCTGCAAGACTCTGCAGTCTGCAATAACAGAGGTCTTTCATAGATCTCTTCATCGTTATAGTTTGTCACACATCATGAAGAAAATTCCAGAAAAATTAGGAGGACTGCGTAACTATGATGCAATTAGAAAGGCATTGATTAAAGCAATTTACGACACACTGAAGGTAATAGAATTTGAAGCGGCCTGGGGATTTATAGTCCAGCATTTTGGAGTAGGTGATCATGAGTGGCTTCAATCTTTATATGAAGATCGAGCTCAATGGGCTCCAGTCTATTTAAAAGACACAGTATTTGCGGGGATATCTGCTCTAAGACTAGGTGAGGTCCTTGGTCCTTTTTTTGATAAATATGTGCACAAACAAACACCTTTAAAAGAATTTCTTGATAAATATGAACTCGCTTTACAAAAGAAGCACAAGGAAGAAACACTTGCTGATATTGAGTCAAGGAACTCTAGCCCCACATTGAAAACAAGGTGTTCATTTGAGTTGCAGCTCTCTAAAGTGTATACGAGGGATTTGTTCAAAAAGTTTCCAGTTCGAGGTTGAGGAGATGTATTCATGTTTTAGCACAACACAGTTACATGTTGATGGGCCAATTGTAATATTCTTAGTGAAGGAGCGTGTTTTAGGTGAAGCAAACCGGAGGGAAGTAAGGGATTTTGAAGTTCTTTACAATAGAACAGCAGCTGAGGTTCGATGCATCTGCAGCTGCTTTAACTTCTACGGATATTTATGCCGTCATGCATTGTGTGTGCTGAACTTTAATGGGGTGGAAGAGATCCCGCCAAAATACATTCTACCAAGATGGAAAAAGGATTACAAGCGTGTATACATTCCTGATAAAGGATCCAGTCATGTTGATGCTATTGATTATGTGCAGTGGTTTAACCAATTGTACAGAAGTGCCTTGCAAATAGTGGAAGAAGGGGTCACTTCTTTAGATCATTACAAGGTTGCATTGCAGGCATTTATGGAGTCATTAAATAGGGTTCATGATGTAGAACAAAAGCAAGAATAACTCAATCTATTAAGGTAAAAGCCTTTCCTTTTCTGTAAATAAAATTGATACATCATTTTTTTTTTTTCAATTCCAAGTCTTTTTCTTCTTTTTTTGAAGAGTGAAGAAGACTTATTAATTTTTCAACTATTAAAGATGTGATACTTTAGTGCTTTATTGTTCTATACTACATGTTAATTAGGAATAAGTTTGCCTATCGGAGATTATTCTTTTATGATGGGTGTCTCTTATATTTGGTGCAAATGGTGAGGAAGCAAAGATAATGAAGTGGGTATAATAGAAAATGGGGATAAATTTTGTACATGATTTTTTTTATTTGTATTTTTATATTTTTGTTCATATACTTATCTAAGAATTGTATACTTAATCAAATGGTAAATTAAATAATTTTTTTAGAAAACAGAAAAGAATTTTCTAAATTTCTGATTTTATTATTTTAATTAATGTTTTTTATTAATTTAATTTTTATTATTTTTAAATAAAATGCATATAAATTTTAAAAATTAGAAATTAAAAAATATTTTGATGAACCAAAAGAATTTGTAATCTTTAGTAAAAAAATCATTAATATTTATGTGATAATATATGGAACCAGTCACTAAATTTATACTATTGGGAATTAGAGAATATATATATATATACACATACATATTCTAACACGGTTAGAACTCCCGTGGTGTATGCATTGGAAAAGTGAAACTGGTGTTGATTAGTGCTTGGGCTTTTCCATTTCTGGATAATGAGAAGAGTAGTAAATACGTACCTTAAATAAATGATATTGTATTTCCAAAGAGTTAACCCTAAGAGTCTAAACCTGTCTCGACTCGACACAGCATATAAATCCCCACAAGATGAAACGATGGGTATACCCCGAAACTCCATCAAACCAAAAATGGCTACTTATAATATTGTTTCTTGTGGAGTCACCGTGAAAACCACGGTGACAAACAGCGCCACTTTTACCGACGACTACATTACTGAGCTCGTTCTCTCCTGCAACCATGTCACGCCATTGATCGGCCTGGATGTGAGGTCTGCTCGTTCTGGTGTCACCGGCGAAATGAAGGCTGCGACGCTGACGCTATGTTCAGGGTCTAGGTGCATCATAATTCAACTTACCAACATGGATTCAATTCCTGATTCCTTGATTAGTTTTCTTTCTGCTCCACTATTTCACTTTGTTGGAATATGGGAGAGCCTGGCAATACTTGAAAAGGATTATGGGATTGTTTGTAGGAATGTGATTGAGCTTGACCCTTTCTTATTTTCTTTGGTAGTTGCTCTTGAGATTAAGGTCGAATCCAAGCCATCGAGTGTTATGATGGGAAATTGGGGCGCTGGGAATTTGAGTATGGAGCAAATTCAGGCTGTTACTTTTTTGGCTCACAGCTTTTTCGAGTGTGGAAAATTTTTCTTTACCTGATACATAATATTTATATATATATATATATATATATGTATTTGGGCGCGAGTGTGCATGTGGATTAGCTAGTAATTAAACATATATTGTGTCTCTGTATGCATCTATGCATGCATGTATCTATGTGGGTTGAAGTCATTTAGGAACTTGGAGGTGTCTGGTGTGGTAATGAATATATATGTTACGTCTTGCTGATAGGAATGATATAGTAAATTCAGAAGTTTATGCTTTGATCTTTCATTTTTATATTTTTGTTTCAGTAAACGAGCTGTGAGTATAAAAGCTTTTTATACATAATTTTTTAGTGAGATTTTTATATATAATTATTGAAAAGGGTGATAATTTTCGCGTCCATGATAAGGGCCATGCTCTTCTCGTCCATTTTCAATTGGAATACTTGCAAATTATTCTATTTTCTTAGCAAATTTAGTAAATCCATGCCCCAAAAAAAATATATATATATATATTGCTTTCAACTTAAAAAAAGGAATTTTTGTCAAAGCTGGCTGCATAGTCGCTGACTTTAACCCTTACCCACATAACCATCAGGCTAGGCCATCTTATTGTTCTTCATCTTCTTAAAAATGTTAAAGTATATACACACACAAATATACACTATTTATCTATCAACGCGTATATATAAACATACGTAGAGAGAGAGAGAGAGAGAGAGAGAGAGAGAGAGAATGGGAGGCACTTGTAACGTGCACGAAAATATCTTGATTTCACAGTGTATTCACCGAAAGAAACTTATCAAGAGGTTGTCTTCTGACCATGGTACTTCACTGATCAGTATGACATCCTGTGGAAAAAAATTGTTCTCGCCAAGATCCATTCTTACAACTCTTCGAACTGTATTATAAAAGTAATTATCTATTTCTTGCAGTATAATGTAATAATAATTATAATACTGTGAGGTTCGAAGAAAAATAGAGTTTAACAAAATATGACAATACTTTTTAAGTACAGAATATCTAATCCTGACTCAAGCTCTTTTATTTGTCCCTCATTGGTTTGCACTTGCCCTAAATTCATCAGATTTGTAGAACACCAGGATGAGTTTGAACGAGTTTCACTTGCTTGGTAAGTATAAACTAGTGCTTCGGCATGCAAACATAAAAGCAACACACAGTCATGCAATAAATGCATTACATTAGAAAGAATTACCATGAATTACTAAAAATTTCATAACACTATACTATTTTATTGTGAACTGATTTTAATAATATTCTATCATTTTTTTCATATTATTCTCCTTTGTATTTTAACTATTATAGTGTATATATTCTTAAAATATCATATCAATTAATTAAAACTGATTATTTTTAGTCATTTTCTTTTCCTGTATCTTTTTATAATATTTATTATATTTTCTATTTATCTGTACTTATGTATAATGGTGTTCTTTTATTTCTTAAATTACATCTCATAAGGACTTACCTAATATACACATTCACAAGTCATAGACTTAACACATACACGTTTATATATTTCTCATACATTTTTTTACACATAGGGTTCATAACACATTTTATTTACGATGTCGTTCATATTGGTATTAGGGCAAGACACAAAGAATTTCCCTCACTACATGGACAGTGCATTCACTAGGGGACCCACATCACATCACACATATTTATCTACATCTGAATTAGGTTCATATCATCCATCCATGAGTGGGGTACACCACATATCTCGGTCGAATTTCAGCTATACATATACATTCTCCCTCCTTAATATACGATTAAACAAATTGAGTTTTCTCACAATCCACAACTCTCTTTCTCTTATAATTATTCTAAAGTTTCCTCATTTCCTATCTTAATATTTGTTTCTACCTTACCATTTTTGTTATTATATCTTAATTCATTTTTATCTTATTTTTTTACTAAAATTTCTTAATTTATTTTACTTCTTTGTTTCAGATTTATAGATTATCCTTCAATTAACTAAATATTTTATTCTCTTTATATATATTTTTTTATTTCGTTATTATGTATTTTCTATTTGTAACCCTCTTAAATTGTCAAGTTTGTTATTAAAATTCTTAACTTAGGTATCAAATTCCTCAGTTTCATTATTCTCTCTTGTCCTATTAATTTCATTTCTTGACATTTCGCTGGATGCTTCCCGCTTCCCCTCACTTTAGCTTTTTCCTTCACAAATCTATTTTGTTCTAATCATTTTTATTATTAATAATTTAAGCCCCTTTTAAAATCAGAATTTGTTCAAGTGTTGCACACAATTTTGAAGCATTGTATATTTCTGATACCATACACGTCCTCATTCGTCATCAACTTCAATTCAATGGCAGATCTCATATTTCGGTTTAGAAGCCATTGTATCTCACAGGTATGCTCTTCCCCCTCCATTCATTCCAAGTAGACATCGCCTTTTGAAATTACCCTGAGGCACCTTGTCGAGCTCTACATAAATCTTTTTCTTGCACGGATTGAAACAAAACATATTCTTAGACCATATTCTTTCCTCTATTCTTCCCCTCAGTTTCCACAAGTTTTTCATCATATCAATAAGAAATCCCTGCCACAGTTCTATATACATGCTTTATCTCCTTTTTATTTCTCTGTGCAAAAGCAGAGTCAACATACAATTCAATCCTTGTAAGGATCCCAAGAGGGGTTAGTCCTCCTTATGCATGCTTAAATAAAAGTGTTTTGGCTCAACAAAGAGGCCAGATTTAGTAACTTAATACACAAAACAAACATATATATATATATATATATATGCTACTACCTTAAATCTAAATGTACATTACACTTGATGCTCTTGCACAAGATGAAGCTTGCTCATTATGCCATCTAATGCTTGTTGCGTAGCCTTGTATCGATCTTGAGATTTTCTTCCTTCCTCAACAACCTGCACAATGCATTTGTACAAATGATCATACCTGTGCACTGGATTATTAGTATCAATACTAGTGCAGCTTTGATCAAGAACTTGAACACGCTTGATATCTTTTCTCCACCGCGGAAGAATATATTGAGATGGGATTTCCTCGATGCCATTTTGCTTAAGCACATAGAGCGCATGCCTGCATAAATACCCCCTGTAATTGAACAAACCACAAATGCAGGCCACCTCCATCTCGGTCGCGTTATACAAAACCTCAAAATCCCTCGTTTCTCTTCTATTTCCGTCACCCTCAGCCTCTTCCTTTACAACATATGTTACGATTGGGCCATCAACATGTCCTTGTCTTGTGCTAAAACATGAAAACATTCCTTCCACCTCTCTTTCAAACTTCCTAACTATGTTATTCGTGTACAATTTTGAAATCTGCAAATCATAATAACATCTTGATTTCAACATAACACTCGTATTTTTTGAATCCATGTCTTCCAAGACTTCTAGCTGACGATTTGTCTGTAAGCCTTGATCATATTTATTTAAAAACTCTTTCAATGAGGTATGTTTATCAAGATAACCTTCAAAAAATGAAACCACAACCTCATTTTGCTGGGTGGGAAATGCTCCAGCCAGAAATGTATCCTTCAGATAAACTGGAACCCACCGTTTACGATCTTCATATAATGTTTGAACCCATTTGTTATCCTTAATTCCATACAGTTGGATCATATCTTCCCATAAAGTTTCGAATTCCTCTGGCCTCAAAGAATAATAAACTGCTCTATTCAATGCTGTTCTAATTGCTTCATAATCAGAAAAACCTCCCAGCTTCACAGGAACTTTACCAGTGATATGTGATAAACATAGACAATGACAAGCTCTAGGAAAAACATCTGCAACAGTGGTGTCTAGAATTCTACACTGATCAGTAATGATAACCTGCGGGGGGCGTCCTAGCATGCAGGTGAGCCACACCCTAAACAACCATGTATATGATTCTACAGTCTCCCCGGCAACCAAACCACAACCCAAGAGCACAGACTGTCCATGATGATTCACTCCAATAAATGATACAAGTGGGACTTCATATTTGTTTGTCAAACAAGAAGAGTCAATCATAATTACATCGCTGAAATAATGATATGCAACCCTAGACATTGCATCCATCCAGAGCAAATTCCTCAAATAGCCTTTCTCATTGATATCAACCACATAGAAGAAATTAGGATCCATCAATTGTGAGTGCAAAAAGTAATTTTGAATAGCTTGAGCATCTCCTTCCTTGAGCTTCAATTGGTTGTAGTGAACATCATTGCTGAATTCTCTATTATCAACATCTATAGCCCCATTGTTCTCTGCATCAACAACCATCGTTCGGAAGAGCCTAATCTTTTGTGCTTCTTCCGGACCATCTAAGTGCAATGTTCTTTTAGTTCCAATACCTATGTGCTTATGGGATTTGTAAAACTTTCCACTTGCTGGGCTAATCAAGTGATTGTGCTCAAGCTCAGCCTCAATAATTCTCCATCTTCTATTTTCCATCAACCTGAACTTTATCATTGCAGGACAGCCAGTCCTGGTTTCTGGTCTTGGTCGGTTTGCTTCACTCTTTTTCTTGAAGCCTGCACTACTGCAGCTGAGTTTTCCTCTGTATCTCTCTTTACTCTTTCTATACCATGTGTTGCTTACTCTGACACCAAACCCTTGTTCCTTGGCATAGCAGTTGTAGAAGAAATATACATCTTCGTAAGACTCAAATTCCATTCCAACAGCTGGAGGCAGCGGATTCTCTCCTTGAATTACACTAGTTTGACCGACATATTCTACTATTCCACAGTCTCCTTCAATTTCAAATTCATCAACATCATCATCGATTGGCTCAGTGTTAAGAGAAACTTCATCCATCTAAGAGAGAATTGAATTAACAATGTTAGCAAAACCAGGGAGGAAACAGAGAGAGAGAGAGAATAAGAGAAATAAACAAGTAATGACTCCACAACCAAACATTTTATTTAAAGATCATAAATATTGTATCTCTTTTCTCTTGTGATTAATAAAAATAAGGACACCCTACAGAAAATACATTCCTCCAACCTGAGCCTGTTAATAGGTTCTTCAAGAAATATGCAACTTAAGCTGATGTATAGCCCTTTCTTTACCCATGAGAACAAAATTATAAAGAACCTAAGCACTACTGCAACAGTTAATCAAATTCCAGTCACCAGTTACTGCAACTGGATCAATTTCAATTGCCGTAACACTTATTTTGCAGCAAATGCAACCAAAGGAATTAAATAGGCACAACAAGAGACCTGTAATGAAATATTGCAAAAGAAAACTGCATATCTCGATTAGGTCATGAAAGTAATAAAATAACTCTTCCCTATTTAATTTAAGGGAAAAAAAACTCATTTCTGCAGTGACGGTAAAATAACTGCAACAAAGAACAACCTTTAGTAGATACAGCTATAACAAGTTTCAAAAGAAAGAATTTGACTATTTGAGCCACAGCATTGGATCTATTACTTCAGGAAATATTATAATGTTTTCCTGAATGTGATACAATTTCCCTTGTTCAACTGAAACTTATACTTCCGTGAAGTAAAAGCACCACCCCAAAATACCAAGGTACTCAACAACACAGTTCCCAGATTAGGGAATAACAATGTTATATAGGTTGTTTGGAACAAATTTAGAAATTCTATCAAAAACAGCTAGAAATTTAGACCTATTTAACTAGTCCCTAAAAATTTTATTAGAAATACATAAAACTCAAGCTTGTAGAAAATTTCAAGAAGCATTTGAATAATATATTCTAGATTCCATCAATTTATGCAATTTTGAATCCATTACTCTTATTCCACTACGCCAAACATAGCCATATTAGTTTCTAAGCGAGAATATTGTTAGAGGCTAGTAGTGTTTTATCTATTAACTTACAGTCCTTGATTTTTAGTCTAAAAATTAAAAGCTGAATCACAATCTACACCACAAGATGGGTGTTTAACACCTTCCAACCTTCTAAAATTTCAAGCCCAAATCTGGATAAAGACTGGTGCATATTTTTCGCGTCTAATCTTGCCTATAATAAGGTTAGCGCTGACTCTCCCTTTCTTTCTTAAAAATTAAATTAAATTTTCGCAGAGTCCATTTGCCACTGCATTGCATGGGTTCTGACAGGAGGGAAGTGGGGGAAGAAGAAGGGAAGGGAAGGAAAAGGGGAGGACAAGAGCTCAAGGACAAAGATTGGTGAAGGATAGGAAAGGAGGAGAGTTGAAAACGGTCCATGAACATTTGATTTTATTTTCAGAAAGATAGGAAGAGTCACCACAACTGCTATTATATGTAACATTAGAAGCCAAAAATATGCACTGATTTTCATCCAGATTCTGGGTCAAAATTTTACAAGGTGGTAGGGTGTTAGGCACCACCTTTTGGTATACAGTTAGATTTTAATTTTTATACAAAAATTCAAAATCTGCAAGATAATATATAACGGAATAGTCCAAGAAGCAAAGGTAAATACACTCAATTTACACACAAAAAAAAAAAAAAAAAAAAAAAACTCAACAAGCACAATGTGACCTCTTGAGGACCCTAAAATGATTCCTCCTCGTTGATAACAAGGTTGAACATTTAATCATGCCAAAAGCTCAAGAAACGGCATTGGTGGATTACCTAATAATGCCATTTCCGACCCAAGCCAACTTTCTCATTTATGATCAAGTCATTAATATCAAACAAATGTTAGCATTCAAATTCTGGATAGCATATTAACAATGTCTAAGATAAACATTTTTATAATTAAAAAAAGAAGATTCTCCAGTGACTTCTATGTCTAAGGTACCAAACATGAATATAAACCAGAAAATGAACTTTCCAGAGTAAGACCCATCCAATCAGTTCACTTTTCTCATCTGAAACTCGTAAACAGCCATGGATTTAGAGAAAACAGTGACCAAGAGGCAAAAAGAGAGGATATGCACACCTTGGCAGGAAATTGTCAACTGGTTTTAGCTCACTTTTGGACCTCAAAACATGATCAAAAGAAACATACTCCAGTAACAATAAGATCTAGGAAAAATGGAAAGTATTTGCCCCAAACAGAAAAGGAGAGAAAAAGAAAAAGGAACCCAAAGAATAATAATAGTAATAATAATAATAATAGCAGCAATAATAACAACAATAATAATAAACATAATCAAAGAGCAAACAAGGTCTGCAAGACACTCCAGAAAGAAACAGAGAAACAATGCCACTTTTCATAACATAATTTTCATAATGCATTGCTTCCATATACTGATTCTGGCACTAAGATCCTGGCATCAAGATGCATTTTTTTGGGAAGCAGGTTTAGAGATCACGCTCGCAACAGATTTAAAAACTTCATGCGGGCGGGCAACACACCAAAACTGACCCTTTGAAAAAATCTTTATGCAGACTCACAGCAGATCAAGACTCAAGCTATCAAACCAGAGCCAAAAACTTCTGATCTGGACCAGAACTTTGACCTCAGATCCAACATTTCAAAATTACATTCTCTAGAGGTTTCTCATTTGCAGCAGGAAGGAGTTTTTGCCATTTTTCAAAACCGATTCAGAAACAAATATGCAATACTTGGTAAGGGGAAAAAACTCCAAATGGGAGCAGAATGACCAATGCAGGAAAAATGCACCAAAACTGTTGTGTGTCAAACAGAAACTTGGCAGCCTATTTCTCATGCATTTGCAACATATGCAACATATGCAACAATTGCTTGAAGATGATTAAATACTAATCCCGAGACCTAAACAGCAAGAAATCTATTTTTCATAAACTGATCTTGTTGTTGGATAAGAAATGAAAAAGTGCACAACAAATGAACCTAGCAAAAATGAAAATCTTAGCAAAAAGACAACTATATTTTTATTTTTAACAAAAGGGGACAGAATTCTAAAGCAGGATACAGTGAACAAGACACACTCTCGATATTAAAATTGGAGCGATGGAATTTGACTCTAGCAGGCTTTATTTGCATGTAGGAGCCAAGTCTATTAAGGCAGGAAAAAAGGAATCTGGAATGCTTTGCATATCAAACTCAAACAAATTGTATTTACCACCCAAGAATTGCATCTAATAGATAATTCTGCTTAAATTAAAGCGTCATCCTGCCTCAAGCACAAAAATGACAGCGGATCACATCCTCTTGTAATTCCATCAAAGAGCTTCATGTTTATCAGTTTGCGGACTATATCAACATACTCTTTCTCTTTCATAAACTTGTAGGAACCAACATGTTCACAGCATTTTTTTGGATTTATGTAGAGTCATAAAATCCGTTTATCACATTAAGTTCTCACCAATTAAGCCATGCCATTGAGCTATCACTAAAACACACAGTGATAAAATCTTTAAGTTCCACAGAAATTTACCTACCATAAATGAGTCAGCCTAATAATGGAATTATGTAACTTCACATTCTGTTTGTTCGCTATTCTGTTCTTCCCTTTCAATTCCGTCGCTTGTTTCACCTCCGTTTTCCTTCTCTCTTTTGCTTTATTCACTCACTCTAGTTGTTCCCTTGAAGGAAACAGGAAGAGGCGCTAGGTTTTCTTTCCTGTAAGCTCTCGGCCACTCTTACTCGAAGAAGCCCTCGGTTATTCCTTTTCTAGAGGACTTGAATGCTCTCTTCTTCTTCTTCAACAGACCTCCAGTAAAATGATGTCCTCGAGCGTCGTTCTCTTCAGTCGATTCCCTCTGTTGAGACTGCCAAGACTCCTTGTTTTCCGGCTTACCAAATCGGATCCATTCCCTTTTCCTCTCATGGAGATTCATTCTTCTGGTTTTTAAGAAGAAGGGAAGAGAAGAGAAGGGAGACAATGGGAAAGAGAGGGGATGAAGAGAGTAGGCCTGACTTGGGCCTGAAATGGGCCGGACCTCCTCCTTTTATAACTTTCTCTCTCTTTTACTTTCGTGTTCTTTTTACTTTTTGTTTTTTTATTTTTTTATTTTTTAAATCTTTTTTTTGGTATGATACTAATAATAATGGCTAAAATAATAACCGTGCTAAATAATAATAATAAATAATTCATTAATAATACTAATAATAATAATAATAATAATAAAATTTTATTCGAAACAAAATTAGAGTACATATGCTTTCTGATGATCTCGAGAGAGGTTTCCTCTATGATCTTTCATCATG